ATCCCAGGTTAAGAACTCCTGGGTTCTTAAATAGAGGGCTGAATCTTTTCCACATAGCATGGGGTTCTAGACAAGATTAAGGATCACTTGTATCTTCATTAGGTCTGGTTCCTAAAAGCCTAAGTATTCAAAATTCTCAGAGCCCATAGCTGAAAACAGATAAAATGAGATTTGTCCAACGGCACATATATTTTAAATGTGCTATTGCCCCATCTTACATTTGTATGGCTCTTTACCATTTACAAAGTGCTTTTAAATCCATCAGCTTATTTGGTCCTCATAATAGCCCTAAGAGGTAGACAAGGCAGATATTAATCCCATTTTACAGAAGAAGAAATTGGGAGTCAGAAAGGTTAAATGATTTATCCAAAGTCACATCGCCAGCAAGAGGGCAGAGCTGAAACTAGAACCCAGGTCTTCTCACTGTAGTACTCTTTCGCATATTTCGTTCTGCCTCAATTTTTTTTTTCTGAATGCTCTGACTAATTTTCCTTAAGGAAAAGTACTTTTCTGTTTTTTATTGCTCCCAGAAAAACCTGACCCTCAAATAAGCATAGTTAGCTATCACTTAGTCCAAAAACATCTGTGATCTTTCTCCTTACTGTTCCCTTGTGAGAGGCTATAATCTCATTGACTGTTCTTCTTCCCTCAGTCTCTTATTTTTTAAGATTTACCCTGTTCAGTCCTTTACCACCAAGATCTTCTTGCCAGTACATGCATTAGTATGTGTTCCAAGTTGCTTATCCAAAGCATTCAGGGCTCAACATTGGCAGTGATTCACCATGCTTTAGGTCTCAACTCTCACACATACATTTAACAAGAAAAACAGGTACCATGGAAAGGACTGGAGGGATAGCGTTGGATACTGAGCTTGGTTTTGATTACTCACAAAACAAATACAGCAGAAGCAGTAATGAAGCTAGTTTCATCACGCTATCTTGCCAGTGTGACTCAGCCTCAGCTCTCCACCTCCACTGAATATGTGGTTTGCCTACTCAGGTGGAGCAGGTTTCACAAAGGAAACTCATTTCCCAGCTTAGCACATGTGCACATCTTAAAAACTTAACATTACACATCATTCAAAGCTTTTATCTAATCCATTCCTATACCAGATAATCACAATGAAACCTACCTCAAGGCAGCAACGTGATCTACTGAGGCCCAGAAACAGATATTTATTTCCCTTTCCTTAGGGAGTAACAACTTCAAAAACTAATGCAAATAGCAGGCCCTTAAAAAATGTTTGTTCACTGCCTGATTGATCAGACATATTCCAAACTGAAATAAAGGCAATGTTGCCCTAGGATTTATGCAAGTGTAGGATCTTTTTCTTTTAGAATTCAAGCAACTTCAGAAATCCAGAGGACTACAAGAATGTCAAAATAAAGCATAAAGAGCCTGCAGCATTGCCAACTGGGCTGTGATTCAGGAGTGCCAATTATCTAACCTCAGACTGGATTGTCTGGTTTGGGGTGTCTTTTGTTGTCCCCTGAGTACTGCAGGAGTTGGCTCCAGCTTCTGTTTCATGTGCCAGAGATCCTTGGTTGCACCACACCAATCTCTAGCCCTTGCACCCAGCAGACACATGGCACATGTCTGTTGAACTGAACTTAATGCTTTTGTTAAAGGTGAAGGATGCTATGAAGAATACTTTTTTTCCCTCACTGGTGCAACCTTACTATATCTCCCCATAATTTATTAACTAAGGAAAGAAATTCTACCTCAGTAAAACTGTACTGAGCCATTATCTACAGACATGTATTTACTGCTTGTCCACTATGTTCAAGATGTTGAGCTAGGCAACAAATAAACATTTTTATAGTGACCAGATATCATACCGAAGGGATGATCTTAGGCAACAGTGCCAACTCAAATTATACATTTATTTTAAGTTTCAGTACTCATCTATTTGTACAATACTAGCTTAAATCTAGCCTAAAACTTTATTTTCCCCCCTAAATTTTTCAACTGGATTATAGCTATCTGAACAAAGTGGGGTCAATAGCTACATGACATACATGAAGTAGGCAGTGGTGAAAATAGCCCAACACACCAGGAAAAGAGCTTGAGGTCCTCAGCACACTTTGTGACTGATAATAACAGTTAACATTTATATAGCCCTTGAAGGTTTACAAAGTACTTTACATACATTATCTCACATGATCCTCATGAAAACCCTATAGATAAGAGATGAAGACCACTGTCTGAAATGGGGTTAGAGACAGGCCTTTGATTTCACTGAAATAGGGAGGAAAGGACACTCCCTTTACCAATAGAGACTGGCAGCTTTTCTCTACCTGATATTCTTAGAGAATTCCTAGAACATTCAGAAGTTAAATGATTTGCCAGGTCATACAGACAATACATGTTACAGGTAGGACTTAAACTCAGATATTTCTGGCTCTGAGGCCAATTCTCTATCTACTATGTCATGCTGTCTCTCTGGTTAGATACTTGAAATAAATAGCCTAAGGCCATATTCTTTCACAACAAAATTTAAAGTAGAATTTGAAAAATAAAAGTGGAACTTGAAAGATGTTATTTGATTTTTTTATTTTAAAAAAAGTATTTATTTTATTCTAGACTTAAATAAAATAAGCATTCCCATAATATAGAATAGAAAAAAAATCTATATGCACCAAATATTAAAGCATCTAAATTTTTAAAAGAAAAAAATGAATTACAGGTAGAAATAGATAGTAGTACTATAACAGTGGAGGGCTTTAATCTTTCACTCTCAGAACCAGATAAATCTAACTGAAAAATAAATGAGAAAGAAGTCAAGGAAGTGAATAGAATTTTAAATAAGCTAGATATAAACTAGATATCTATGAGTTAGTTAGAAACACATTTTAAAATGGGAGATACAGAGTTAAAATAGAGGGTTGGAGGAGAATTTATTATGCTTCAGCTGATGTAAAAAAAAAGAGGTAGTAATCATAATCTCAAAGTTAAAGCTAAGATAAATTTAATTAAAAGAGATAAACAGAGTAACTACATTTTGATAAAAGGCACCACAGACAATGAAGCAATATTAATATTTGATTTCATTTTAAACTGGAAAGTACTTATTACACATCACTGGACTCTTGGCTTAGTATATCCAGCAACAAGCACTGTGTGAAGGAGACACAATGGCTGGTACTGCTTATGTAGCCTTTGGAAAAGGCCTGTCGTCTGCTGATCAAGATAGAAGAGAAAAGAGGAAGACGTACACAACTTCCTTCTTCAGTCTCTCCCTCTTACTCTGATGGTTGCCATCATGAGGGCACTTTAAAATGAATTTTGTAGGCTCTGTCAAAGTTTTAATTATTTGCTCATTATTTTTTGCGTTATTTGTATTTTCAAAAGGATGTGAACTGATTTGCAGTGGTAAAAAAGGGCAATTAAAAATAAAGTACAGGAGAAAAAAACAGGTTGAAAAGGGGAGTGCAGGATTCTTGCATCTGGGATGAGTTATTATTCATTGTAGTTGAACAACAATTTAAGCCCTGAGCTTTCTGGTTATTAGGGCAAAAAGAGAAACACACTGGCTTAAACAGGACTCGTTGTTTAATAAAACGAAGCATCATAAGTTGCTCTGAAGAAACAAACATCTTCCTGGCACTAAGCTGGCACAATTTTTCACATAAATCTTCATATAAGGCAAACTAGACAACATAATAGGCTATGTCTCCAACTAAAATTTTGTAAGAGATACAGAAGCCATTTCTACACAGGCACTTTTTTATGCTAACCCCCTGTAAAAGCTGAGGGCCTTATATTAAGTGTTAATACACTAAAGGCATTTCTGCAGGAAGTTATTATAATATACTCCAGATATGAAGTTTTCTAATGATCTAACTACATACAAGGGATGAAGTTATGACAAGTTTTCTTAATCTGCATTCTACAGAACTTTGGAGTTCCATAAAATATGACTAGGGACTTTTGTGAGAAAATTGTGATGCTAGTGATATTCCTATCCCTCTCTAAATATTAAATTACGGATGAATTTAAATTAAGCATTAATAAAAATGTGCACACAATGTGCAAGAAAGGTTATTTTCTAATATTTTACTCCAAAATTTCTCTAGCTCCACATTATTAAAAAATCAAGCACTTGCTTGTAATAAGTATAAGTAAGTAGTAAGTATAAGTAAGCATTGCTCCCAAATGTCTCTAGTCCTAGCCAAGAGTAGTAGTGAAGGTATCTCTGCTAGAATGTTTGAAACCTCTTAGGCTCCTTATGAATGAAAGATAACATCCATGTGATTACAGAATCATAGCTATGGAGTTGGAAGAGAACTTTGAGATCGTTGCATTCAATACCTTCATTTAATGAGATAACCAAGGGCTAGAGAAGATAACTGGGGGGAGAGAATATTTTTATTTGAAGGGACCCTGAGAGGTTTCATGAAGCCAATATCACCTGAGCTGAGCCTTGAAAAGAAAAGGATTTAGAAAGGTTGAAATAGAGAGACTGATATACAGACATAAGAGATAATCTGCATGAATGAACAGATATGAAAGAATGAGGACAGCTAAATAGTCCAGTATGGCTGGACTGCTGGAATACAGAACATGTGAAGAAAAATCATGTCAAATAAGGCAGTTTAGAGCCAGATAATAGAGGGCTTTAAATAGCCAGCTAAGGAATTTGTATTTTATCCTATAAACAATAGAGATACTGAAAAAAGAATGTGTAAACTATTCTGTTTTAAAAACTACACGTTATAACTACAAAAATCCTCTTTATCAAAAGTAACCCCTCTTAATACACCAGGTTCAAATATAAACGTGTTGCCTTCCGGATGGGCTTGGCTTACCACCTAATCAAGTCTCCAAAGTAGTTGTTTATTAATTTATTTTTCCAATTCAAATAAACCATAAGGTTCCTAGGCCTAGCTAAACATTTGCTCCAAAGAGTTGAGTTGAGAAATAGGACCCTGCAGTTCCTTCACATGAAAGTAAACACTAGCTTATGGAACCAGAATGCCAAGGTTCTTTGGGCGACTCACCGAGCACTGTGAAGGTCTGCATTTCCCAATGTGGCAGCCAACTGAGCAGAGTTGTTTCCTTGTTGATATCTGGAGACATCCCGTATAGGAAGGTAATATACTCTTTGCACTACCACCTGGACCTGCACTCCTTTCCATCTGGCTGTTCCCTGGCTTTCGACCACATCCAAGAGGGAGTCCCTTATGGAGAGCTGCGCTGGAATGTCCTGTTTTGTTTCTTGGAAGTCATGAGGTCTCCCTGTCTTGGTAGTAGTAACATTAGTGCACATTATCTGGCAAAGACATTCGAGAGAAATAACCGGGATTTAACTTATTACTGGTATTTTCATTATTAATAATCAATCATCAAAGCTCTTAATATGTGTCAAACCCTACGTGAAGTACAAAGAAAAAATAAAAACAGTCCTTGTCCTCAAGGAGGTTATATTTATCATTGTCATACTCAGGGAAATTTCAACCTGTTTCCATTTTTTTTAAAGGATAAAGTGATTTAAAAGGTATTCATCAAACCGAGTATATCCTAGAAACTTAACGCCTCTATGTTCAACTAAAAAAACTGTTAACACTAAAGACATGGTGGAACACAATGGTCTCCAAGACAGAACTGTTGTTTTGGATTCCACTACTTCAACTATTAATGTCTGGGACAGATATTACAAGCAGAGGGAACAGAGAGAACAGTGAGCAGTGTAACCTATTATTATTATTGTCCTAGATATTTTTATCTTTTTGTTCTTCCTGAGATTGAACCTTCAGTGATTTAATCTACTCAACTCTGGAACCACAGCCCTGGGGATATTTTGTCCTGATTGCAGAATCAGCCAGTGAAAACAAGTTAGACCTATTCCATAAATTAATACAAATACAAATTAATAAAACACAATCAATAAACTAAAAACCAATTAAATTAATAAAATATTAATGTATCCATCTCCAGACAAAATGCCATATTTCACATCCCATCTGAACCTTTCCTTTGCCATCAAAGTATTGCAACTCTCCCCCTCTGTCTCTGTAACACAGTAACTCACCTGTTACTCTGAGAACAGTGATCAAATCAATACTACCACTGCTTCTGGAGAGGGCTTGTCAGCTAACTTCCCTTAGGCTCCTCTCAGTATTATTCTGTCTTCCCAGCCCAGTGCATTACTTTCCTAAGTGTTTTATCTCTCTCTATTAGAATGTAAGCTCCTCAGGGCAGGGACTGTAGATAAATGTATCTCCTATGCTTGATGCATAGTAAATACTTGATAAATGCTTTTAATTCAATCAAATAATGTTTTTTCATTTTTATATTCAGAGCTTTAATCTACCTTAAACTATTTTAAATCCCAGATATTATGTAAATTAATAAAAGATGAATATATCTCTCATCATCATAACCATCTCCCTTCAATATTTCCATTGATAATTGAGTTTACTGCTCAAATGTTTTACCTGACCTCTTGTAAAATAGCTGAATAAAAACCCTGAATATATTTCTTCATAAATCTCTCAATTCTACTTAATTCCATTTCTTCTAATTCTAGCATTATATAGTTCAAAATTCAACCAAAAACCAAAGAGCAGTGAATTATGAAGTTAGAATCACTCAAAGGAAAATAGCAGCTTTCAGAAGGAAACTGAAACCAAAGTACTGGAGCATTTTAAGATCCCTAAGACATGTCTGACAAATGGACCAGGCAATTTGGTACTAAGTTGAGGAAAACAGCCTAACTTCTACATAATTAAATAAATGAGTAAAATGTAATATAATCAGTATAATAACATTGAGATTAAAAATAATGAGAATAGAACACAACTGAACACTAAGTTCTTGGATGGGTCAAACATCCTTCTTCCATTCAGTGAAGAACAATAAAACTCCCTAACATGTTTTGCTATTTATTTCTTTAGAGACAAAAGATGTCAATGACTTACAAAATCTTCTCAACTAATACTGAGACAAAGACTTATTTTCCTAATCCAAGAAGAATTTACCTGATGTCCTTCTGATTCCTGAGCAATATCATGTATTTGGCTTTTAAATCTAAACATCTGAGCCAAGGAAATGATTTTTCTTCTTGTAGGCAACACCCCCAGACAGTGCATTTTATCGAGTTTGTCTGAATCTTCTTTGATGACAACTTTCTGGCAAAAGTATGTGTTCATAATAATAGGAATACTTTTATCATGAAGAAGCAGCTTATGCCTGGATAAGAAGAAGAGATAAGAAAGAATTATGTATGTATTTGTATTACGCATATATACACATATTGCTTAATCTAGTATATGAAGAATGATCACTTTAATGGCAATTTAAAAATCAGCCTAAAGTCAACAATGTTGACAGCTCTCACAATAATTATTTCAATGGGCACCTCTTAAGCTGATGTTTTAAGGCTAGATGCACTAAAAAAATTACATTGAAATGCCTAGTTTAGGTAACTAAGTGTCCACAACTGAAGCTCTGCATTTACACAAGGTGCATTCAATCTAGCAGGTATCTCATACAATCTCTTGTTGACTCATATCTCCACCCTGAGTTTCTCATGGGATCAGAATTGGGATTGCTTTGTCCCTAGCCATCATTTTCCCCAGAAGCATACCAATCTGGCTCCCATCAAAGTCTTTAAGGAAAAGTTAAAGGGACTTCAATTCCCAGGAAAATGCTCAAGCTAACATCACATCAAAGATAGAGTAGGCTTTATACCCCTCCACAAGTACAACAAGATACAAAGGACTTGCACTCGAACCTATAAGAAGTTATAGCCAGCTTTCTTTTCCTCTCTCATGAGTCCCACCCGCCCTAGGGACTTACACAGCACTTTCAACCTTTAGTACTACTCTGAAGTTGAGGTCCACTCCCTCCTACCTTGAGTAAGAAGAAAATTTGGGGTTGCTACAGAGTTAGCAATACCTTTCCTCTATCAGTCCAGGAAAACCTTTATTAGGTTTTGGGTCTTTGGTCCAAAAATTACTTTGTTGCACCATCACTGCTTCCATTTTCTTTTCCAACAGCTCCTGGCTTGGTCTAGGACTCCTTATCGTCCTGCCACCGCCTTCATCTGCTACCATTTCTAGAGCCCTATGGTTTCCTGATGGGCCCAGCAGATGCTCAGTCTCTCTCTCTCTTCTCTCTCTCTCTCTCTCGAACATAATCCAAGTCTCTGTGTCTCAATCCTCTCCCCATTCCATCTCTCACTTTTGGTTCTCTTTAGCTCTTCTGTCCACCTGTTTCTTTTTTTTTGGAGGGGGGGGGAATCATCTGTTTCTTTTTCAAAAAGCCAACTAGAAGTGTGCAAATCCAGTATTAACTTACTTTAACAGCAATGAGGTATTAACTGGTTGATAAATATCGCTGATATTTCTTCATCAAGGTGGGTTTTACTAGTGACTACTTTAATGCCATGTCAAAGAGAAACAAAGCCTTCATCCATGGAAGCTTTGGTAATGAAGAGTTAACTTGAACAAAGGGTTAAACTTCTCAAGGGAAGCTTACACTTCCTTAAGAAGACACAAGAAGGATTCAGGAGGGCCTTACCAGAGACCTCTTAGTCAAGCTTCCTACACTTAGATTGCCTTGTTCTGCCATGGGAAAACAAGCTAGATCTCTTTTACATACTTGGAAGAAGACTTTGGTGGGGTAAAAACCAGCCTATACAGACTTGAAAAGCCCTCAGGAAGGACAGCTTTTAAACAGATTCCCAGTTACCAAGGCTAACATGGACAAATCCTTAGTTCTGGTACTCAAGATTTCCCTTTGACATAGCATCAGCTAGCCAAGAATGAAATAAATGCGTATTCAAAATGCAACCTCCAGGTGCTTGCAGGGAAGGAGCTCAGAAATTTGAAAAATAACAACAATTTTGCAGAATGTCAAACCTACTCTTTTTTATAGTTAGTAAATTGATGAACATCTGTAAAATAACTAGCCTCAAAAGGGGAAAAACTTAGCCGCCCTTGGCAGAAGGAATGTCCTAGTTGGTGAAATCTCCCATAAGAGTTTGGGAGTATCACAGACCCCATGTAGAAAATAAAGCTCTGGACCTGGAGTCATGAAGACCTAAGTTCAAATTCAGCCTCATGTACTTAGTAGCTGTGTGACCCTAAGTAAGTCACTTTACCTGTCTGCCTCAGTTTCCTCAGCTGTAAAATGAGAATAATAATAGCACCTACCTCCCAGGGTTGTTGTGAGGCTTGAATTAGATAATATTTGTAAAGTGCCTGGCACACTCCCTAGCACAAAGTAAGTACTTGATAAATGTTTCCTTCATTTCTTCCTTCCTTCTCAACTGGGCCCTTACAAAAGGAGTTTTTGGGGCAACTAGGTGGCACAGTAAATAGAGCACTGGCCCTGGAGTCAGGAGGACTTGAGTTCAAATCTGGCCTAAGACACTTGACACTTGCTACCTGTGTGACCCTGGGCAAGTCACTTAACCCCAACTACCCCACCAAAAAAAAAAAAGATAAAAAGAGCTTTTAACCTGGAGTTTGTGAACTTATGGGTTTGGGGTTTTTTTGTTTGTTTGTTTGTTTAATATTTTGTTAACTATATTACAATATAATTGGTTTCCTCTGTGATCCTGTATATTTTCTTTTATGCATTTAAATATATTATTCTAGGAGGGGATCAATAAGCTTCACCAGACTACCAAAGGATTTTGTGACTCAAAAAAAGGTTAAGAACCCCTTTCTTACAAGTTCTATCTATAATTCCCAGAGAGAGAGCTTTAATCACTTATCCCTTCCATCCCTCTCCCCACACAGTTATTACCTCCTTTGTGATGGCTTTGCTATGAGTGTTACTAGAAGGCCTGTGAGGCTGCTCCACATTTCCAGACCCTCTAATTTCTAAATTGATGATAAAATGGTAGAGGAGGGGTTCTCCTCAGTGTTCTATCTCTATTCCTATTTATTGTCTGTTATATCTCTTATGAAGTTAGTAGGAATGATTCTGTGTTCTTTGTCTCAGACTTAAGTCATATTTGAAGGTGCAAACAGCCATTTCAACCACTGAGAATATCTGATTCCTGATTCCACTGTGAGTGATTACATCCCACAGCCTGTTGCTATGAGAATAATTTTCAGTTTTATGCAAGTTATTTTTTCTTCCAGCACATAAGTTTATACTATTAAATAAGATAATGGGCACATTGCCTGGGTAGCATTAAGGCATATATTCTATATTAATTGTTTTTGGGGAAGGAGAAGTGTGGTGAGAGGCCAAGGTACTGAATTCCACAAAGACACTAAAGTTTCCTTTATGGCCCTTCTTTATACTTAAAAGCAGGCTCTGAGTCTTATATAAACTTTATATGTCCAATGGTATTGGGCTTAGTATGATTGCTACAAGACTGTTTGATTCCTGAAGGCAAGAACCTCATCTAATCTAATCCATGTAAATACTGTATTTCTAGTATGCAGTATAGTACTATAGTCTAGGGCCAAATGCCTCCTTTGATAAATATTAGTAATAGGGATTTTGGTGAACAGGGATTGCAGAAGGGAGAGACATGAGAATAATTTCCAAGGACAAACAGACCCTTGATCTGCTAGATAAATAGACAGATAGATAGACAGATAGATAGATAGATAGATAGATAGATAGATAGATAGATAGATAGATAGATAGACAGATAGATAGGTAGACAGATAGACAGACAGGCAGAGCTGCTGCTAGAAAGAGTAATGGATTTTGGATCAGAGGACTTGGGCTTAAATTCAAACTGTCAATTAACAAACCTATTATGTCTAGTACATATTATGTACCATGCACTATTCTCTCCTAGTTCTCTCCCTACCTTTCAGACAACTCTTTCTCACATTTTTGTCTATTCCAAGGCTTCTTAAACTTTTTCTACTTGTGACTCCTTTTTGCCTGAGAAATTTTTACGTGGCCCAGGTATATAGGTATGTAAAACAGGTATACAAATCAAACATTTATTGATAATAAATCATGAAGAAACTTATTTTAAAAACAATTCTTTGGTATACATATAATTTTACGATTTATTAAAGATGAAAACAAATTTGCATACTAATGAGATGGATGTGCTTGTTTATTTTTACATAAAGAATTAAATCTTGGCGGAATATTTGATACTGTAGTATGTAGAGGATCTTCAATGTTTTTCAGAGTTGATCGATATTTTGGAATGCTGCTTCACATAAATATGTAGTACAAAATGGCAGAAGTATGTTTAGGGTCATTTCAGAAATTGTTGGAAATTCTGTCCTAATCTCAAGCCAAAATTCATTTAACGATTTTGTATGTACAGTAAAAACACTGCAATTCATAACATACGATAGTTTTGAATCTGATCCAAGGTGTTTGTGGCAGATTTGTTGGCGTTGCGTGGTATGACAGCACGTGCAGTGCAAAGTGCGCATCTTATGTGTTTAGAACTAAGGCGGCAGTGAAGTCGCTCGATGCAACACAAGCACGTGCTACCAGAAACACCTCCGATTCATTAAAAGTTTGATTGCGAATTAGTTTTTGGTTGTTGGGTGTTCAGAAACCTATTGCGGTTGCCAAGTTTTTCGCGACTCCCACGTTCACTTACATGACCCCACATGGGGTCACCACCCACAGTTTAAGAAGCGCTGGTCTCTTCTAGGAATGTCCTCCCCTCTTTCTTTAACGGAAAGGCTTTTCAGACCCTAGCCATCCTTTTAAGCTCAATTAAAATACTGCCTCCTCTGATTTCCTTTTTGGTAATTATTTCCTCACTCTCAGGCCTCAGTAAGCATTTTATTGCTACCACTCCTAAGTACATATCAAATATTATTTTGCATTACAGCGATGTGTATACACATCCTAGTCTCCTGGTAGACTAGGAGGATCGTGAAGAAGCAGGGCCAACATCCCTTCTAAATTTAGTCCATCCCTTAGCGCACACACATCAACACTGTAAGAATCTGCGAGTGAATTCATTGTATCCCAGTGAGCAAGGATTTCCTCCACTGATGCAAGGGGAAACCCCTTTCATCAATACCTTAGTAATGTTTCACAAGTTTCTGTGGCCAAAAGAATTCATCACTTAATGGTCAGTTCTCTGATAATAAGTCTCCCTGAATTTAACTACGCAGATCTGTTAGTGAAAAGCATGAGCTTTTGACACTTGGCTTGTACTTGAAACCTTTCTACTTTGGCAGGAGGAGGTATCACTGTTGACCTTTTGCGATGCACTTAAAAGATGTTTAATACCT